GGTGTTCGGACTATACGTCTGAATACTTCACGATGTCCGAATACTTTACGTTTTTCAAGTGACGCTAATTCTGCCTGGATAGAGTCTTTCCATTTTTACCGATCATTTCTCTGTCTACATTCATCGACAGATCTTGGTTCAAGATCCTCATCTTGTTGCATTATTTCAACAACAACATTATAAGCAAAAATGTTGTCGACGATAGTATTATTTCGGTTCCACCTTTTTGCCGTAGAGACATAACTTATTGAGATCTCTTTATTCTTATTATTTTCAGGTACTTGGACCTCATCTGAGATCTTATCATTTGTTATGTCATAGGGCTCTTTTTGAGCAATTACCTCCATATTATGATCTCCTAGATCATTTGCTCCTTTTCGCTTTCGAGGATTTTTATCTTTGGAACCAATTGGTCTACCACGTTTCAAGCGTGACTTAGACTCATTTGCATTTATAGATTGTCCAATCGAGATATCAATTCTAATAGGAGCATTAACAACTAGAAAATATGACTTAGTCACCCTTGGTAGGTTAGTGAATGCATTAGGTAGTTGATTTGCAATATTTTGCAAATAAATTATCTTTTGAACCTCGTGTTCACATTGATGTGTTCGAGGATCTAAATGAGATAGTGATAATGCATTCCAATCAATCTCCTTTTGCAACTGCTTATTTTCTCCCCCTAATATTGGGTATACTGATTCATCAAAATGACAATCAACAAATCTTGTCGTAAATAAATCTCCAGTTATAGGTTCCAAATATTTTATAATAGAAGGAGATTCATACCCAATATATATCCCCAATCTTCTTTGGGGTCCCATCTTTGTGCGTTGTGGTGGAGTAACTGAAACATATACTACACATCTAAATATCCTAAGATGAAAAATATTTGGCTCCTGAGCAAAAGCCAATTGTATTGGGGAGACTTTATGATAATTTGTGGGTCTGATCCGCACAAGAGCTGTTGTATGCAAAATAGTATGGCCCCATGCCGAAATGGAAAGTTTTGTTCTCATAAGCATTGGTCTAGCAATTAATTGGAGCATTTGATCAATGATTCCACTAGACGATTTTGAGTATGAACATGAGTAACTGGATGCTCAATTGTTATCCCAGTTGATATGCAATAATAATTAAAGGCTGAGACATAAATTCACCAACATTATCAAGACGAAATGTCTTAATTGCATAATCTGGAAATTGTGCTCTTAATCTTATTAATTGAATTAGTAACCTCACAAAGGCCAAATTGCGGGTTGATAACAACCATACATGTGACCATCTTGTAGATGCATCTATCAAAATCATATAATATATGAATGATCCACATGGAGGGTGTATGGGCCCACATATATCACCCTATATAAGTTCCAAAAAAATACAGGAGATTCAACTCCAACTTTAATTACTGATGGTCTAATAATAAGTTTTCCTTGAGAACATGCAGCATAAGAGAATTCTTTAATTTGAAGAATCTTGTGGTTCTTCAATGAATGACCATGTGAATTCTCAATTATTTTGCGCATCATATTATAATCGGGATGGCCCAACCGGTAATGTCAAATAATAAAATAATTAGTAAACTCCTTATTTACTATAGCATGTGATTCAACTACACTAATATTAGTGTAGTATGATCCGGAGGAAAATGCAGGGAGCTTTTCAAGCACATACTTCTTTTCCGCTTTTATTGTAGTAATATAAAGGTATTTCCATCATTGGTGGTCTCAATATGATAACCATTTTGACGAATATCTTTGAAACTCAACAAGTTTCTTTGAGACCTACTACAATATAATGCATCATCAATAACCAATATATTTCCTTCTAGTAGTAATACAGTTGCTCTTCCAGAGCCCTCAATTAATTTTGTACTACCGGATATTGTTATGATATTGGCTTCTTTCATAATTAAATAAGAGAAATATCTCTTATCTTTTCATATGGTGTGCGTCGTAGCACTATCCAGAAGACATATTTCTTCTTTATTATTCATACGACCAACGGAAGATTGGGAAGTTTTCATATTCTTCAAGAAGAAGAAAAAAATACATCATAAGTAATATTGAAAAAATTAAGAACAAAAGAAACTACATTTAGGAAATTAAATACTGACAATATAAAAAGTTTTATTCAAAATATGAACTTCATAAAAAGAAATATATTTATTCTTATAATATTTCCCAATAATAAGTCTTTCAGTTATGATGCTCAAAGAAGTCTCAAGCTTCTAAATGAGTAATATCTGCCAGACCTTCAAAAATATCATCTTTATAGGCAAGGTTTGCTTCAACTTTATCATGATTATTCATAGGGTCCGCCTCAACATCATTTTGAAAAGTCAAGTGAGTCTCAACTTTATTTTGTTTCCCTTTTATAGATGCTTGATAGAGTTTGACAAAATGTTGAGGTGTACGACAAATTCGTGCCCAATAATTTTTCATACCACATCGGTGACAGACATTATCTTTGCCTTTTGAAGGATTATTCTAAGAACCCTTATTGTTCTCTTGTTTATAACGGCCATCACCGTGCCGATTATTATTTCGCCCCTTGCCACGCCCACGTATATTTATACGGCCACGATAATTATTTTATTTTTTTCCAGACTTTGGATCTATTATTCCCAGATTCGCTTCTGGAAATGGGGCCGATCTAGTGGGGTGGGCTTCATGATTTTTCATTAAAAGGGCATTATGTTGTTCAACCACCAAAAGGCATGAAATTAGCTCCGAATATTTCTTAAAGCCCTTTTCACGGTATTGCTGCTGTAACACCATATTCGAGGCATGAAAAGTAGAAATAGTCTTTTCCAACATGTCCTCATCATCCATAGGTTCCCCACATAATTTTAGTTGGGAAATTATTCTATATACAACAGAATTATATTCACTTATGGTCTTATAATCTTGTAGTCATAAGTGCATCCACTCACGGCGAGCTTTTGGTAATACCGTGGCCTTTAGGTGGTCATATCGTTCCTTCAAACTTGTCCATAATTGAAATGGATCTTTCAAGGTTAAATATTCACTTTTTAACCCTTCATCGAGATGATGGCGAAGGAAAATCATGGCTTTCGCCTTATCCTGACTTGATACTTCGTTTCATTCTTTAATAGTGTCACCAAGACCTTTAGCGTCAAGGTGAATTTCAACATCAAGTACCCATGACAAATAGTTATTCCCAGAGATGTCAAGTGCCACAAATTCAAGCTTTGATAAATTCGACATAGTAAAACTATCACAAAAAATAGTTAAATTAAAAAAAATCAAAATCCATCATTTTGTGACAGGTAGTAAAACCCGAAATGCAACATGGATATAGAAAAAAAAATACACGTTGACATATATAAGGTGAAGAAAGCATGTGAATAACCATGAAATACAAAAACACTGAATTACTGAAAAGACATTGTATATCATTCTGGGCATATTCACAATTAGTTTTAATAGATATTATTTACTGTTTAAGAATAAGAATTGGCATGTGTAGTACATTTCTTTATGATGCACAACCCAGAATCATGATTGCATGATAATAAAATCGCTATGAATATAATTCTAACTAACATGTTGACTTTAAATTAAAGAGAACATATAATAGACGACGTATGCTACATCTTTAATTACTTTAAATTTTTTTTTACAGTTAGACTGAAACTCAGTTGAACACATATTTGATAATGAGTCTAGCATGAGATTAAGGCCTCTTGTTTCTTTATATAGTTGATAGATGGAATTCGGTAAAATATTACATAGGAGAAATCATTGAATTACAGACGCATGAATTATTATTATAGATTACATCTTATTATGTAGGTGAAACTACTTTAAGCATGATCACGAGAGATAGCTCAAACATAAAGAAGATTTTACATACAAACATGCATAGCAGCAGTACTGGAATAGGTTTAGAAGAAATGTACCTTATTCAGAAGAAAAAATAAAAGTAAACACAACCTAGAGATAATAAATTTGATTACAACTTCGTGCAGATAACGTGTTAAGAAATGAGAGCAAAATAGAATAATAAAATAATGGAGAGAAGATATATAGGAGGATAACGTAGAAGTTATCTTATTCTAAGTGTATTTCTTATGTGTTCTTCCATAGGCAAAGAATGTCCTATTTATATTATACAAGATACATTCAAAACTCACTAGATACATCCTAGGAATTAATAGGTGCATCTATCCAAGTAGTACATTGTACAGAATGTATGGATGAATTAAATAAAGATACATATATATTTACTTTATTTATAACGTGAATTCCCTTTTTCTTGGTGGAAACAAACATTTTAAGCTAAATATATATGTATTAATGTCTACACATTTATTTTACTTATCAACAATAAAAAGTTTCTTCAGTATTTTTTTCTCTTTAAAGTAAATATGCAATTTACAATTTGTAATTTAATTTCTTTTTTACACTCCCGCGACGAAGTTTACTAGTAATTAATATTTTAGTTCAAGTAGAATTAAATTTAGGCTCTTGAGGATTTCTTTGGATAAAACTTTTTCCTTTATTGAGTTAGTTAAATAGGATCGATATTCGTTAATTTTTATAATCTTACATTTAACTTTTAATATATAACTCAAATACTACTTTTAAAATAATATTTATGTGGCTTTTATAAAATTTCACTTATATAAGGGATACACACAACGCATGTAACGGGAGACTAATTCATATAAAAAAACTACAAATGTCATTTTATTCCTTACCTTCTCTTTTTCCCTTCTTTCGTCTCATTATAATATTAAAAACTTTTTAATATTAAGAGAAAAAAAATTATAATTTTATTTAAAAAAGAATGACACCATTTGCTATTCTAGTACCAAGCGCTTTATTTTCTTTGACTATATTCTCTTAAACATTTCTAAATATTTTTAACTATAAAAATTTGTGATTTGTAGTAATATTATGTACTAGTTTTTAACTATGTAAATTTATTTAAAAGATATAAAAAGCTATTATTGTAAAATCGGGGGAAAACACCCGTGAATAAACCTAACTCTGTGGTGGGAAAAAAAAGACCTAACTCTGTCTTCACTCTTCCGTCTTACCCGAGATTTTCTGCCGCTGCAATAAGGACCAGCGTCGCCGTCACCGGCTCTGGCCGTGAAATCTGAATACCCATTTTAGGTAATTTTTCTAGTCCAATTTCTGGTACGTTGTTTTCGTCCAATTTTTTTGCAGTAAAGGTGATTACTTAATGAAAATTTAAAGGCTGTATTGAATTGTATTGTTATTCAGATGATAATTTTAGCTGTTGAATTGGTCTCCTTTCTCTTTTTGTGTTTGTCCAATGGGTTTCATTTGTCTGCTGAGTTTGTGAACTGTAACATGAATAAAGTTGATGCGGAGAAAAGGCCATTTTTTTAAGTAGCAGTAAATATGGAGTAGTAATATTTCCAATTTACTTGATATAGAATCGCTCTTGATGTGTAAATCCAGTAGTCATCACATATTAACCCCAAGAGAGGAAAATTGTGGGAGTTCTAACAGTGGCAATCAAACAAGAACTTGATGAGTGAAATCTGTTAACAAAAAGAAAAAGGATAGCTTTTTGAATCACTATATCCCGGGTCCCTTGATAACTTTGGATTAGTGATCATAGGATTGATGTGATATCTCAAAACTGGAATTTGATGTTAAATTTATAAGGGATATGTGGGAACTCACCAATGAAGTTAGAAAGTTTGGGAGATGAAATGTTGTTGTGGTTTAGGCTAATATGCCGATGATGCTTCTGGTCCTTATGATGGAAGAAGACTAAAGCAGAAAGAAAATCTGAAGCATGGTGAAAGGCGGTTCCCTTTGGTTATTCAGCTTTGGGAACTTTGTTTGAACTTCCTGTTTATCATATTTCCCGTCTTCTTTTGGTCAGTTTCTGCAAACAATGAAAGAAGAGAAGTCACATAAGGTGACCGTGAAAGCTAACTGCATATAGCTGCTTCTGGCCTTTCTCCACTTAATACTAAAGTATTCCCTTGTAAGTGATCTCCCATGCTTCAGGTCATAGCCTGTGTCAATTACTTGCTTGCTCTAAGATATAAGATTATCCTCGCACTGATTGTTGATCCTCCTAGATCCTTACTTCAAATGCTGATATTGTAGCATACGGCAAATCTGGCAATTCGTAGTTGGTGTCGCTTTGTTAAATTAGGTCCATCATTATAAGATTGCCAGATTAAGACGCAGAGCATTTTACTTCTCAGTGCCATGTAAAGGCAACTGATCTGAAGTCAGCTTTAAACTTTCTCAATCTTGTAATGAGTATTATTGATTGGTGCCTTATCTTTATCCATAAAGGGGTACCTTGCTTGCATTTCATGGAGCATTCTTTGTTGTTGAATCTTGTTTCTTCATGCATGCCAAGTCAAGCAAAATGCTGTAGGCTAGGATACCAGGCCTCGCTCACTCTTGTTTTAAACTAAAAAGGGATATTAGTATTATAGATATTAAACTCGAGGAGCTCTTTGAAATTATGTCTAAGCTTTATGTCTAATAAAATGATATTTCTCTTATATACCTCAAAACCGACAGGCTTAACTGTAATTAATCTGAGAGTTAAATCTGATCATTCTTATTGCAAAAAAAAAAAAGTAAAATAAAATCAGATCACTTTTTAATCTTAAATCAAACGTATTTTTGTTTTTAACTTTCAATTTTCATCTGAAGTTGAAAAGCCCTTTGTACAAACATTATAAACGCCAAAAACCCTTTCTGCGCCTGTGAAAACTCGCCGGCCGTGATTTCAGGTTCCGTCACTCTCTCTCCGTCTCTGTGAACTCCATTGTTCTCTCTGTGATTGTTGTTTCAATTCTTATTAACCACTTTCTGTTTCTAGTTTTTTTACATTTGGCATAAATTTTTTTATGGGTATTCCCATATACTTCGGAAAAATTTGAATAATTCATCTGATTTGGCTATTTTTTTTGTGTATGTTTACTAGTACCATTTAGTTAGTCTTATGTAGAATTATTGCTGGGTTGTTTGGGGCTTTAGTGAAGATTTATAAGAATGAGAATTAGGGCTACAGAGAGGTGAATGAGTTGTAGATTAGACTTCTATCTGACAAAGCTGAAATTTGAACATTTAACTTGATAAAATCAGGTCACATTTTTGGCATACTTTACTGAATTATAAACTACTAATTACTCATTAAGTTTGTTTATATGGGTTGGTCTTTTCAATTCTGCAATGCGATTGAGCTTTATGCCTTAATGATATCCTCATAGTGTGTGTGTGAGAGAGAGAATAATTACAAAGTTGCAGTCCACATGTAAATTGAAATTGTTTTAAAGCTATTGGTTTTTGTTTTGAGTTTTTGACACGGTAGTAAAAAAGGATGTTGCTGTATCAACTGTGTTGCTTATAATGTAGCATGATTCTTATATAATTCATGTCGGGCATGCCAGATGAGTCTGACGGCAGATTCTCCAGTGCACTCATCAAGCAGCGATGATTTTGCAGCATTTCTCGATGCAGAGTTGGACTCTGCTTCTGATGTATCACCTGACCAACACGAAGTAGAAAATGAAGAAGCAGAGGGAGAGGAAGAGGTGGAAGATGAGGAAGGGCAAGATGAAGATGGTGGCGATGGTGATGATCTTGATGATGGCGCCTCAGATTCTAGCAGGTATTATAAGATTCTGTGTGAAGCTTGGATTTGTTAGTTCATCTAAGATAAGTTTTTGAGTTAAACATGAAAAAGAGCTCGTGTAGAAGAAGCAAATTACAAAAGGGTTGTGCTGATTGTCACCAACTACTGTTAGTTCTGCTGAAATTGGAAATCTTTTTATTGCTAAATTTACTATTGCTTTTTAAAGTCTAACATTGCAGTTTGATTGTTTGTGCTTAAACTAAATGTTCCATTTCCTCATTGATGTCTATTTTGATTATCATAGGATAAAGAAGCGCAAAGCAGAGGTTTTGGAAGATGCAGTGTATCCACAGAGTTCAGCATCTCGTGGAGAACCAGCAGAAACTTCAGGTGAGGCTGTAGAAGAGTTATTCAATCTTCTGATAGGCTGTTTAGCATTTTATCCGCACATTAAACAAATCTGTTTAGCATTTTATCAAGATCGAGTTGAATGATTTGATGTTCTGATGTTGTTGTAGAGATATTATAACACCTGACAATAATTCTTTTTAATTCATGTCAGCACCTACTTAGGTCTAGAGGTATACTTGAGCCAAGCTCAGTCTTGTTTTACTGCTGGTGCTTGACTCTAAATGCAAAATGAGCTTCAAACAAAGCACACGAGCTCAAGTGAAAGCCTACCTTGAAATTCAAATGAGCTCGTAATAATTTTGAGTTTCAGCTTTTATTCGAGCGTATAATATTTGAATAACACCATTTCATGGCCCTGAAAAATGGTTTGGAAATTGCTGATAGAGAAGGTCACCTGAGATGGTTTGTCTGTATTGTACATAGACTTTTAACTGCACTAGCTTGTATGTGTGACAGTATGTTGATTGACGGGGATATAAAGGGGTAAAGTAGACCTAAAATCACGTGGAGAGAAGTTGTCTCAAGATTTACAATCTCCTAGCATCATTATGACTTAGCTAAGGTTAGAGATGAATGAAGTAAAGTATCCACATAGGTGATATCTATGAGTGGGGTTAATGCCTAGTTGTTGTCATTGCACTTACATTAGGTTAAGTGTTGGTTGTAGTCTTGTATATGCATGTAGAAGTAAGTGTAAGTTTTAAAGAACCTCTAGATCCAAAAAAGCCCTCATTTGCTCTTATGCTTTATTAAAAAGTGAGTTGGACCTCTAGTTAATTGAGTGATTGCTATATGTGTGAAAATGGGATGGAAACTTAAAATCATTTTTTTTTTGCATTTTTGTAGAATTAGAGATTTGGTACATGTTTCTATCTTGTCGAGGTTCTTCAATATATGCCTATCACTTGAAGAAATTTTTTGTAGTTGGACGGGGAGGAAAACTCTATGGAACAACAGAAAATTGTGGAATGCTATTCCTCTAGATGTCACATGGGTTGGAGAGAGAGGAACAGTGAGTGCTTTGAAGGAAATAATGAGTCTCTATGCAGCTTGAATTAGGACTGTCTTCATCTTTTGGTTATTTGGTTTAAATGTTTTACATGACATAGAAAACTTGCAAAGACTGGAAGGTGAGGGAAACTCTTAAGAAACAGAAAGTTAACAGAAAGTTGTAGAATGCTATTCCTTTGTACGTCCCATGGTTGGAGAGTGAGGAGCAGTCAATGCTTCGAAGGAAATAAACAGCCTCTATGCACCTGGAAATATTCTTGTCTTCAGCTTTTGAATCGTTTGTTTAAATGATTTACATGACATGGAAAACTTGATTGATTTTGTCAGCTGCCACACAGCTAACAGCGAAGAATCCTTTTGTACTTTTGTATATTCTTCTCCACGAACTCACTTCTTTTTGTGGATATTATTGACCTTACCTATTAGAAAATGTTCATTGGCCTGAAGTAAATACAATCTGATTATACTACAACTGGATCATTATGGGATTCTGTAGTCTTCTTTGCTTAATTACATCTTCTGACCATCTTATTAAAAGTTTAAAACCTTAGTTGCTGAATTCTGACAACGATAAGTATCAGATGATAGGCTGGTCTTCAGCTCTTTAAAACTTAGGTAATGCCTTTTCCATCTTCTGATCATCTTATTAAAACCTTAGTTGCTGAATTCTGACAACGATAAGTATCAGATGATAGGCTGGTCTTCAGCTCTTTAAAACTTAGGTAATGCCTTTTCCATATAGATGACAGCTATGGTTTCCTTGACACTAAAAATGCTTCTTTGAGCTTTCATTCTTTGGGGAGGGACTAGAAAATGGCAAATTAGTTTCCCTGACAAAAGATCAAGAAATAGGGAAGAAATAATTTTTAGGATGAAATTAATTAATAGGCTGCAGCTACTTGCATGTAGTTATAAGTTCTTTGACTCTTTCCTTTCCAGTCATCGACGTGCTTCTCCAGCGTGAAGTGCGTGTGTGGTTCTGTGTGATAAACCTGACATGTCCCTGTTTGCAGGAGCATCTTTGGCTCTGGATATATGCTCACATCCTGGTGTCATGGGAGGGATGTGTATAAGGTGTGGGCAGAAGGTGGAAAACGAATCGGGTGTGGCTTTTGGATACATACACAAGGTTATTGTTAATGATTCAGGAGTCACTAAAATACACTTGTATATACATATGTTCTTTTCTTTTGAGTTGGGTTGGGTGTGGGGAGGGTTGAGAGGAATGGAAGGCACTATATGATGTGCTGGGGACAGCTATTACTAGTAAACTTTCTACATCTTTACTGGATTCTATAATTAATTTTGCAGAATTTGAGGCTTGCAGATGATGAAATTGCTCGATTGCGTGACAAAGACCTGAAGAACTTATTACGTCATAAAAAGCTGTACTTGGTTCTTGATTTAGACCACACACTTCTGAACTCAGCTAGACTTGCAGATATTTCAGCAGAAGAATTATACTTGAAGGACCAACGAGAAGTACTGCCTGGTATGCTACTCTTACTGGTTATGTGCTAGTGGCTTATAATTTCGATGCTTATATCTTGCTCTTGAAAGTGATGAAAATCTGTTTTACTTGCACAAGGAAGCTAGGGAAGCAAAATAAGAAAATTTGTCCAACAGGTTATACCGGTACTGCCTAGGTCTCCTAGCCTGAAATCTGTTAGAGATATTGGTAGTTGGAGGGAAACCTGCAGCAGTGAGGTGAAGTACTGCTAGGATCTCTACGATGTAGCTTGCATGGGATTTTATGGTGTATATATGTTATGTGACTACTAGTTTAATGAACTAGATAGAGAAGGAAGCTATACAGAAAGTACGAGGTAATGTTACACTACGTAGTTAAGAAAATCTGTGTTATTGGAATTAGTAGTTGTCCCTCTGATCAGATTTACTGTGCTAATTTCTGTCCTCAATCTACTACTAGCATCTTATTCCTTTAATTTTTTTTTGAGAATATCTTATTCCTTTAATTTGATCTCCAAGGTTTGAAAGGGATCTGATAGCAGGCAGATATGTGTCTCTGTGACTACATTACTCTTTGATTTCATTCATATAATACCTAAACAGAACTTCAGAAGTGGTTAAATTAAAGTCCAATTTAGTGGGTCGTTAGAAAGATGAACAGGTTTTGTGTATTGGTGCAGTTTGCACAAGATAGATGAGGAGACTTTAGCTCATTCACTTTCCATTGTGACTAGATGCATCTGTGCTTTAGCCATTTATACGAGCAATTAGGGTGCATCTAATTCATAATGTTACAATCTGTTAGATTCCTTCTGGCCTGGAGGCAGTTGTTTGCTGGAGCAATTTAGTACTGGACATCATTCCTAGATGTGTACTGATGTGTGTCTGTTTGGAGAGAAATAGAAGATTTTTTGACATTAGTAGGTCCCATGCACATTTTAATCTACTTGCTTGGTGCATGGAATATGTAACTTCTTGACAGACCAACCTGCAATTTTCTTAGAGATTGCAGATTCTGAAGCTAATAGAAATTCTTTCCCAACCTAGCGAGCATTTTTACGAATCGGGGGACGGAGGGACGGAGAAAGAG